TGCGTAACTGCTAATAGACATGACTGTTGGTTCCCTCATACCCTTCTCATTTATACCACGAGACCTCTCCAGTGCTGCACTTACATGTATGTAAAAGCTCTTTGTATGCAAAGGACATTTACAAGATGACCCATATACTGGGGGAAACTGAAGGCTAGAGCATGCTCAAGAGGGGCAAAGTGAGGCTGACAATAAGTCTCTCAATAATACATGTGATGGTTGATAAGGAAAGGTCACAAACAGCCTCGGAAGGGCAGGGAGGGGATTTGAGTTTGATATGGCAGAAGGGTGGAAAGAGGAGCTGGAGGAGACGTGACCCCCAGGGAACTGAGTTTTCAACCCAGTCCAGATCGCAGCCTTCCCACCTGCACTGCACAGCTCTGTGTGGCCACTTGGGTCAAGGCCCAAAGGTACTGCCCTGAAAAGGGGATCTGAGCACCTGAACACCTGAAGAAAGAGGACTCCAAATAGATGCAAAAGGAGGTGTTGGACTGAGTTTTCCAGACTTGTAGCAATCAGCTGGCCCTTTCTTCATCTCCAGTTTCTTGGCCACCTGCTCAGGGCCTTGTTATGTTATGTATTTAAAAAAAAAAAAAGTTTTTTTCATAGTTATTTATTAAATGTCTCTGGTGTCAGCTGAAAATATTTTGAGGTTGTACGGCACCTGCAGAAACTCCCAGCCACCCCCATGTTTTCACATGCTGAGTTCAGTGCCTGGATTTCAGACACTGATGTGCCAGATACAGTTGGGAGAGGGGGAGACTTTAAAGATCCTTGGATGCTGCCAAGCAGCAAGGCTAGCTCCACAATTTTTGGGCCAGTATAAGACAATTAGCCCTGTTTTTAAAAAGAAAACCAACTGGATAGCTGTCCCTCTTAATTTGCTTTTGGGTTTTGTTGCCTTCTCTGGTGGATGTTTACATTTTTCTGTGAGCTCTTTTTCTTCTTCCTCGTTCTTCCTTTGGCAAAACACTTTGTGAACTTAAGGGTTTGTTTTACTTCCTTAGGAACTTGAAATGCATAGTTTAACCAAGTATCTCTTGACCTAAATAAGATCAGGCTTAATTCCAGTTGTCCCTTACTTACGCACCCTTGTGTTGTGGCTGAAATATAAAGAGGAGCCTGAAGACAAAAAGAAGTGGAAAGGCAGGAAACGCTCAGGTAAGAGACAAAGCAGGAGGAAACAACTGAAACAACTGCAACCCCGGCTTGTTTAGGCTTGTCCCAAAATGTGAGTGCAATTCAGGGATAAAAAAATGCAAGATGGAGAACTGTAAGAAGTTCATACCTGTGCCTCAGTCTCTTGGTTTACCAAGAAATCTCTGTAGAGAAATATTGAGACACTTTCTGATTTTTTAATGCAGAAGATAGTTGTCCCAGATGAATGTTCCGCCAGTCATGGGAGCAGAATTGCCCTGTGTCACACCTCCATTACCTTGTTCTGTTTCTCAGACCCCATCTCCTTTACAGACCCTGCCCAGGTAGCTGGAGAACTGGCTGTTACCCAGCATGAACCTGCAAATTATTTCTTAAGGAGAAACACTCTCACCCACTTGTCATCTTCCCAGTGGGGACTGAGACAATTTGGTCAGTCCCAAGGTTACTGTAAGCTTTTGGTTCCCTAGATCCAAATATCAAGCTCAATGAATTTGTGTTTCACTGCATGATCAAGTTTGAAATGAAGTGTCTGCAGTTGGTTCCACGACAGCAGTGCCCTGGCTTAAGCCACGACTGAACGTAAACATATTGGCTTCTCTACCAAGGTAGTAATTCTATTTGCATTTGTACATGGGGCTGTTTCTAGGAATAGCTTATGCAGCTATTCTGCTAACAGACGTCTAGGAAAGATGCACCCCATACCTTCCCCAGGGAAAGGGCCACACAATTACTCACACACACACACAATTACTCACTCTCCTTTGACGTGCCCTGTTGCATAGGCTGCCCTCCACATGTGACCCTGCAGCTGCTTCAGTGCCGTGGTCTTCCTGTCCAGAGACATCTGCCAGTGCACGTTGTCTACGACCGCCTGAATGACCCGCTCTAGCTCCTCTTCCCCACTTCCGCTCTCCAAAGGGATCAGCACGGCCCCATCCAAGCTGGAGTCCTCCTGAGCCTGGAAATCATCCATGACAAAAAGAGGTGAGGGAAGAGGTAGAGCGGTCTCAATATCTCAATTTAGGAAAGGGGTCTAACACCTGCATCAATGCACCTCTGTGCAGGACGCAGCTCAAACTGCTCTTCACAAGGAAGGGTTACAACATTGTTTGAATGCTTTTCTCAATGGGAAATTCAGAATTCAGTAGTGTCTAGAAACACTTGCTTGGATTGTACTTTCCAAACCCAACAATTAGCATTACTGTAGCTGTATTGTAAATACTCTAATGAGAATTATACTTGCTTAAGTATTTAATTACTGAAATTAAGGCAAAGAAGCAAATGCATCTGTTTTTTAGCTTCAGACAGCCACAGGTCTCAAATTGATGCCATGTCCCTGCACAGAGGCAGGATACGCTGCGCTGTGCAGGACAAGTACTCTGCTATCCCTCCACGCTGCTTCCCAAACAGGCACCTGGAAGCTGCAAGCGGGGAATTCAGCAAGAGAAGGGCACAGTGCAGGCACAAAGCTGAAAAGCCATGGTTCAACGCCCGCTTGGGGGCCGTGAAGATCAAGGTGAGCTGAGGGGAACAGCTGAGCTGCTGCCTACCAAGCACCAGCCCTTCCCCAAGCACAATCCCAGACTTTGGGTGGGGGAGAATCAGCCTGTCAAGGCAACCAGCCTCTGGGGGGCGGGCAAAGAGAGGTATGGGCTCGTGTTGGGTGACTGGGGGAGTCCAAGTGACCTGAAATCTCAGGCACGCCGTGAAAACACGGAGAGACACAGTGTAGCTCCATTACTTAACCTGTTTTCTCAGAAGTCCCACGTCCCGCTGGCACTCCTCCTCCTCCCAGTGAGCACGCAGATACTCCTTCACGTTGTCTTTGATGTAAGGGAACAAAGTCTCCTGGCAGCACACAAGAAAAACAGGCAGCTCATTTAACCTGGCAGAGCTAAGGCTGACCAGAGAGTTGTGGTGAATGGAGTTCAATCCAGTTGGCGGCCGGTCACGAGCGGTGTTCCCCAGGGCTCAGTTTTGGGGCCAGTCTTGTTCAATATCTTTATCAATGATCTGGATGAGGGGATCAAGTGCACCCTCAGTAAGTTTGCAGATCACACCAAGTTGGGCACAAGTGCTGATCTGCTCGAGGGTAGGAAGGCTCTGCAGAGGGACCTGGACAGGCTGGATCGATGGGCCGAGGCCAACTGTATGAGATTCAACAAGGCCAAGTGCCAGGTCCTGCACTTCGGCCACAACCCTACGCAACGCTACAGGCTTGGGGAAGAGTGGCTGGAAAGCTGCCTGGCGGAAAAGGACCTGGGGGTGCTGGTTGACAG